TGCGTTGGCGGCAGCATCTGCGTCACGCAGGACGAGTGGTACTCGCAGTGCGTGCCCAAGCGTCTGCGCTAATCACAATATATATATGAACGTGTTTCGCGTTATCTTCATAGTTACACAAAGACTTCGCATACGTAGAGACTAGCAATCTCCTTCTTCTTCATTCGCTCGCCGGTCCGTGGCTGCGCAGGCGGCGGCGCGGGGGCTCGTCTGGCTCTTCTGTCGTCGCCCTACGACGCTTGTAGCCGCGGGTGAGGCCCGTGACGACACGGTCGGTCAAATCTTTCCAGGCGTCGCGGTCTGCGGCATGGCTACGCAGTTTGTCAAGGTCCTCGGAAGACGCCAGCGACTGAGGCGGCGTCAGCGACTGGAGGTCGCGGTGCAGGACGATCGGCAGCGTGATTTTGGTGCGTCCTAAGAAACGGGGCGCCTCGGGACCCACCAAAAAGCGCTAATCACAAGATGAGCTATTAGCACCCTTTCGATATAAATGTAGAAATGAATTGTGTGTATCGATCATGAGGATTTGCAATCATTCAATAATGTCCTCGCCACGCATAGCAACAACGACGATGTCAACGTCGGCTCCAGTAGTAGCCCTGGTGGTGCCAAAGCAGTGACGAGTTGCTGTTTTGCGTTCGAGGGTATTCAAGCACCTGTACAGCTAACGTTGCTAGACGAGCGCAATTGCAGAGATTATCTCATCACTAACCGCCATCAAGGCAGCGACGATGGTACTGACAACTTCTGGAGCTTCCTCCAGAGCACTTACTGAATGTGCTTGCGATCTCGGATCCTTCCCGTAGTCCATGCAACGACATGTTCTACTTCTTTGTCACGCAGCGCTAAGCGCTAGCGCATTATAAACATGGTAATACATGGTTGAGTCGTCGCAGAGCCGAGCGCGACCACCACCCGTGGGCAGTTAGACCATTTCGACGACCAGGCATGACAACACTTCGATTGTTTGAGCATGCTCATGACGAGACTCGTCTCACGACGATGCCTGACACAGCGAAATGCACGCGCGCACCAGGTCATGACCACGCA